TCAGGTTCCCTGACCATGACAGGAGGAAGGCATCGGAGAGAGAGTCCTTGCCCAGACCCTGCCAAGAACAAAAATGATGGCATTTTCTGTTTTGTCTTGTGGTGAACAGGTCCACTTGGGGAGTTCCCCACCTCTGGGAGATCATGCAGGCTACCTCCAGGTGGAGCAACCACTTGTGGTGAGAGGAGAAGGACCTGCTGAGGTGATCCACCAGAGTGTTTCTGGCGCCATGGAGATGACAAGCTTCCAAGTGGATCCCGTGGCTGATGCAGAAATCTCACAGACGGTGTGCCTCTTGGCAGAGAGCCAATGAGCATGCTCCCCCTTGCCTGTTGATGTAGAAGATCAAGGCTGTGTTGTCTGTTAACACTCTCACCACTTTGCCAATAAGGTGCGATAAGAAGACTCTGCATGCAAAGTGGACTGCGCTGAGTTCTTTGACGTTTAGGTGCAATGTCATCTTCTTCAGGGACCACATGCCCTGAGTCTGGAAGGCGCCGAGTTGCACTCCCCAGTCGAGGTCCGAGGCGTCCGATATCAACTCGATATTTAAAGTCATAAGTATTGGCTCTATACTGTCTGTAGTTCAAACTTGTGCTATGCTTCTGGGTGACATCCTAGACAAGTTGGTGTCAGTTCTGCCTAGCCTGCTTGATGGCCCATTAAGGACCATCGGCTATACAACTGACCCATTGAAAGAAGGCAGATTCACCTTGTGACTCAGCAAGGAATGCAGGGACATGCCTATGGACAGAACTCAGGTTTTTCCATGCCATATGATGGACAGCTTGTCTTTGGGACATAGAAAGCAGAGACCACATGGCAAGCGACTATAAAAAGCTGCCACAGCTCCTCCGTCTTGTATTCAATCCTGCTTCATACTCTGGAGGGACTTTGCTACAAACGGAAGCTCTACACAAAGGACTGATGACCCATCCCAGCTGTGGATGTACTCCAGAGACTTGATTTGAACTTGTAGTTTATTCTATCACTGCTACAAGCCTGAACCAAGAACTTTGCCATTACTGTATGTAATTGATTCCATTTAACCAATTCTAGCTCTCATCTATATCTCTTTCCTTTTATGAATAAACCTTTGATTTTAGATTCTAAAGGATTGGCAACAGTGTGATTTGTGGGTAAGATCTGATTTGTATATTGACCTGGGTCTGGGGCTTGGTCCTTTGAGATTGAGAGAATCTTTTTTCTTTTACTGGGGTATTGGTTTTCATAACCATTCATCCCCATAACGAGTGGCACTGATGGTGATACTGGGAAACTGGAGTGTCTAAGGGAATTGCTTGTGTGACTTGTGGTTAGCCAGTGGGATAAAACCAAAGTCCTCTCTGTCTGGCTGGTTTGGTTTGCCTTAGAGGTGGAAAAACCCCAGCCTTGGGCGGTAACTGCCCTGCTTGAAGCAATTTGTCTTGAACTGACACACACAGTTGTGTCTCACCAAAGCCAGCACTGTTACAAGGGGGTACTAGAAGGAGAGCTTTTGTCATCCCTAGAAGTTCATAGCCTGTGGAAGTCAGATTTAGTTATTAGATAGTTGCTTTCAAATGTGATTCTGTCTTAATTCATGGGAAAAACAAAGGAAGAGTTCAAGGAGGTGAGAGCTTTAAAATCCCTTCTTTGAGTTAATTGAGCATATGGGGAAAGATAGCATCCTATATAAATCTAAGGGATTAATTATTTTATGTGCAGATGTCTCAGACCTGTAATATTATGGCTAAAACAAGATTTCCTTATGATCACACAAACTGAATAACAAGCCAACCATTAAGAGAGGGAGGCTGAATGCTGCTCACAAGAAGGATCCCACAAATCAGACTTTTCTCTCTCTTGACCCCACAAAGGGAATTGGATATAGACCGAGACACACTTCTGTGGTCATTCCAGCTGTGAAGAGTTCTGGCGACACACACTGAAGCTTAGACCTCTCTACTCTTAGAACCACCTCTGAAGATCAGAGGGAAAGAATGCATATGAATGTGCGTGGTACAATAAATGAGTATAAACACATTACACAAAAGCTGTACATTGTGATTCAGATGTTACAAATTGGACTTATATTCCAGTAATGTGTGCTGTACAAACAGCCAAAAGTTTATAAAACTTGTATAGAAGGGCACACTAGTACTTTTACAACCCAATATCTTTCATTAGAACAAACACTTATTTAAAGGTCGTTTCAAGTACCGTTCAAAATGTCTGGCTTGCTTGTTAATATTCAATATAAATATTTATATACTAAACAACTGTGGTACTCGATCTATGAAGGTGACTTGGAGCTGCTAAGACCTAAATTCAGGGTTTAAATACAACTACATGGAGTTTAACTCTGCATAATGCTTTCTGAGCAGTCCTGGAAAGAGGACTTTGGCCCGTGCTTCAGCACACTGTTAAACTGAGGTGCAGGAAAGTGCGTGTAGCTGTAGTTGTACAGAATCTGCTCCAATATCCCGCTTACACTTAGAGACTACATTTGCAGTTAGACTTCATGGAGGATACTTCCACAGCATTCCCTTCTCCTCGCCGGCTATAGTCTAGTGAGCCGCACGGGACTTGAATAAGGTTGAGATATAAGTGGCTTTTCCTGTCCATCAGAATCTATCTCCCCATTTCCTAAAAGATGTGGGGTTTTAAACTGTTTTACATGTGCCCTGGAAAGAGCATCCTGGGGCCCTATCCTGTCAGACTTCAGTGTCATAAAAAGGCACTGTTTTATAAAAAAACATGCATAATTGCTTTCAGTGGTAAAACCCCCAAAGAGAAAAGGAATAATGAAGATAGAAAATGAAGGGCAATTATAGTTCAAAAAGCACCAGTAAGGGAACGTGTTTTCAGATTTGGCATGTTCAATGCAGACACTGCAATTTGTGCTACAGAGTCGGAGCTACTCTGTACACCAAGCCTATTATTTAATAATTCAACTATGATGTGTTTATGAGCACTGACTTGAGCTAATTGAGCTTAACAAAATACTAAACTGCAACAAAAAGAAAGGAAACAATAAAATAACGGATGTTTCCAATATGAAATGACTATATACGTTCCCTAATATTTCAATTGATCACAACCTCAAAAGCATTTCTGAAGAAAAGCAGCTTAAAGAGAAAACAAAAATGAAAGAAGAGCTTTAAATTTTAAAAAGTCCACAGCATTTGCAGTGACCAATCTTCTGCATGAATTTCACTCTCTACAGTTTACTGTTCTGCCTAGCAATGTGGAACTTGTCATGACTAGAGTACAGTAATTATCTGAGTACAATAAAAATCTCATTTACACCAGTAAAGACAGACAAAAGTTATGTGATTTCAACACAGAAGTATGCAGACAATTATTGAGCACACTGAAATCTATTTATCCATGTATACATAGACAACTTTCAAATGAATCTGCACAATACTTAGCTGTGAAACTGAACTGTGAAATTTCTCCAGCAGCTGGCTACAGTACTGCTGTATTAGAACATGTTTTTCATAATATGTTAGTACATCACTTTGTCTCTCACCAGGAAGATAAGGAAAAATCTAATGAGAAAAGAATTATTTATAACAGTCGTAGACAATGTGACAAAGCAGCAGCAGCTCATTAACTCATACATGAACAATGAGCTGTAAATACTTCCCTTACTGGGAATTATCTTGTCCTCAGTAAAGCTACATCCACTGTTGTCATTTATATAATTTTTAAAATATGTTAATTATTTTAAATTATAGAAGACCCCACACTGACACACCAAATAAATAAAATTAGATAGCAGTCCATAATATTTAAATTTGACTCTTTCATTAACATACATGTAAAATTGATATTTACATTATGGTGTCTGACTCATTTGGCAATAAAACGTCCCAAATATTTACACAACAATCATGACATTTTTTTATTAACCTACAGATTCTGTACATCCAATTGCTGGATTTAAGTGATCTGAAATACTGATACTGAAAGTCAGCTATTTTAACAGGTAGTAAAAGCATAAGAATGGTTTATCAACTGCCAGATTTTAGACACCAATTCAGGAAGCATGTGCTTAAATCCCATTGACTTCAATAGGATTTAAATTGGAGTTTAAGTGCTTTCCTGATTTGGAATGGATTCAAGCATGTTCTTTCTTGAATTGGGACCGTGATATGTCTCTAGTTTAACTGTCTAAGAGTGCAAGGATACAGCTTTATAACAGGCAAAGTAGTCCCTATTAAAAATCCGCAGTGAGTCATGAGGACAATTTATACCACTGTGCATTTCAAGGTTTTTGTCAGTAATAATATCAAAGTAATAATGTTTCAGGTCATTATGGTTTTAAGTTTGGTTTTCTTTCAAAGAGATATTGGCTATATAAATTCTATTACATTTTTTTAAAAAAATCATATTTATTTTATACAAACAACCAATCATTAGGCTAGGCCAGATAAAATTGTGATCAGCATCACCACCAGTTATTTTACTATGTTCACACCTCCACATTCATATTAATTCTTTATCCAGCCTTTCTTAACACACGTTTAATCACATGCTGTTAAAAATACCATTTAATTTTAGTAAAACCTTTGAGCACCTCACATCATCTGCATCTGTGCAGCTACTTATCTGCCCCTTCTTTTTCATCAAATATACATACAAGAGACTGGTCAAACTATCTACCATACGGAAAGTGTCAGCCAAGTTACATGAGCCTTTGTTGTTAAAAGCTGCCATTCTAAATAAATTCCCTAAAAACTCCACTGATCACACTCTACTTTACTTAGATCCTGATTCTCCACTGCATTTCATCTTATGTAGTCATTTGCACCTGTGCAAAGTTAGGATTAAATTTTACCAAATCACCAAATTACTAGACATAGGCAGAAATGACTTCCAAGGCATAGAAGAACAGACCAGTGGGTTGACATTTGGGAATTGTTGAAGTACAGAATTTCTTTGGAAAGGAATCAAAAATTAAATGATTTCAATTTTTTGTTATTTCTTTCTTATTTTTCTTTTTAACCTACCAGGCATGATAATATTGGAAAAACCCAGCTTCCTTGTTATTGATACCCCATGAGTAAACATGGATGTGTAATCTCTCCTAATTTGTTCAATGTCTCCATGAAACAGTTGAAGAGAAACTGCCAGACCTGGAAATGAAGAGAAGAAACAAAAGACATAAGAATGGTATAATACAACATTAAGTCTAAAATCCATTCAAACGGAAACACGATATTTAATATTAGAAGGTTTGCATAATTCATTACAATCTTTCTAACTCAAAGGTCAATAACTCTAAACCATCTCAGAAGTTGTATACATTTGGGAAGGATAAACATTGTAGAAGAATCCTCCATGTAGAGAGCCAGATAAGCACTAGACAGCCATCCAGCCATACACAAGCAGTAACAAGGTGGCTATCATTGGTCTGTAACTGAGGCCATGTGTTTTATGAAAGTATGCTTATGAATGTGAATATAGTATAACTGGAATATGCTTTATGCAAAAGGTCTCTTGTAATGTATCATAACAAAGATTATAACCTACTGAATATAGTCCTCCTATTTGTATGTATGTATAGTTCTTGTATCTGAAGCTAGAAATATGAAGTATAACTCTGAGGTCCTATTGTAATTATGCAAAGTGTGGGCCATTAATGGTGGCTTAGAATCTTGATGGCTCCCATTGACTAGGACAATTGGTTGTGATTGGGTTTATTTACCTGCAAGCCTTCCTGTGTACGTGTGGGCCAGCCTGTGGGTAATGAAGAATGAGGTCTCACAGGACACGTGACCATGTCACAGGATACTGTATTTCATCTTAAATCTGGTACTTTTCCATTTAGAAAGGGGGGTGGGGACCCAGAGAGACAAAAAATTCCGGCCTTGTGCCAAAGCTATAAAAGGGGGTGGAACAGAACAAAGGGGACTGCCAGTCATGAGAACACCCCTGCTCTCCACCTAAGATGTCTGCTGGAACTAACAAGGACTGTACCATGGGAAAGGATTGGGCCCAGGCTAGGAAGGAGTCTAGTCTGTGAAAGAAGCTTATTGGGACATCTCTGAGGGTGAGATTTTAGCAGTAATCAGTTTCTTAATGTATTAGGCTTAGACTTGTATGTTTTTGCTTTATTTTGCTTGGTGACTTACTTTGTTCTGTCTGTTATTACTTGAAACCACTTAAATCCTACTTTTTATATTTAATAAAATCACTTCTGTTTATTAATAAACCCAGAGTAAATGATTAATGCCTGGGGGAGCAAACAGCTGTGCATCTCTCTATCAGTGTGATAGAGGGCAGACGATTTATGAGTTTACCCTGTAAAAGCTTTATACAGAGTAAAACAGATTTATTTGGGGTTTGGATCCCATTAGGAACTGGGTGTCTGGGTGCTGGAGACAGGTGACCCAGTGAGCAGTTTTTGTTTAAAGTCTGCAGCTTTGGGGGCGTGGACCAGATGTGGGTCTGTGTTGCAGCAGGCTAGCATGTCTGGCTCAACAAGGCAGGGTTCTGGAGTCCCAAGCTGGCAGGGAAAATGGGCTCAGAGGTAACTTCAGCACATCAGGTGACAGTCCCAATGGGGTCTCTGTGACTGAACCCATCTCACACACTTCTGGGAAATATCAATTATTAGTAATACTTTGCTGTCACTCAATCTTTTCATTTGCTTGTTTATCAAACAAATCACCGCCTAGTCTTACAAACAACTAGAATTCAGTATGTATCTTAAAGCAGTAGGACAAATGCATCACTCTCCCCCTTGCCAATAGATAGCCCCACATGTTGGAGAGCCCAAGAAAAAATGTGCATATGAGAAAAAAAATTAAGGTGCAGAGTCATAAAAATACCAATCTTGATAAAGGTTCTACAGAGGTATTTCTATAATTAAACTGAATGTTTTTATCATTACATGTCACAAAGGTATTTGAATATTCATCAAAATAAAAAAAAGTTCTGATATCAACATTTACATAATAGGAAGTCAAAACATTGTTCTTGAAAGGCATTAATTCTCTAAGAAAGTACTATACAAAGGGAGAAAAACTACATTATTGCTTGCAGTGTCCTGAAAATTTAATAGAAAAGCAGATGCAAACAAAATACAGTCTTGTCTGATACAGAGCAAAAGGTATAGCGGTTTTGAAGGTGACTACTTTGTAGAAGAATGTGGGAGTTTCAATGAACACCTGTTATCATTATGTATGGCTACATCACCAGTGCACTTCTAATCACAGCAAAGCTTATGAAACTCTTGCTATTAAAACCAAAAGCTGAAGGTAAATTAGAACAATGTAAGAAAACCAAATCCTGCTACTTTTCTGCTTAAACACAACATTGTGTGTTGAACACACTAACTCTCATAATGGCTAAAGTTATAAACAATAATTTTTTCAGTACACCTCTATCTTGATATAACGCTGTCCCCGGAGCCAAAAAATCTTACCGCGTTATAGGTGAAACCGCGTTATATCGAACTTGCTTTGATCCACCGGAGTGCACAGCCCCGCCCCCACCGGAGCACTGCTTTACCGCGTTATATCCGAATTTGTGTTATATCGGGTCACGTTATATCGGGGTAGAGGTGTATGTTTAATTCACTCTAACAGAGGCTCTGTTCTGTGTGCTGGAAGACATGGTGCTCAAGGGTTAATGAGTACAATATACTACTCCCCTTCCAATGAAATAATGGTTCTAGAAGAAAGGAGTGCCTCACCTTTGGTAATTTCAGTATACAATGTAACAATGTAACTGGAAGCACCATGCTTCATCATAGCTGAAATTAACAAAAAGGATATGTTTGCTTTTTGGTTATTTCAATATAATCATTGTGACAAATGTCAGGATGATACAGCTTGTAAGGATTAATCCTCCCTGATCTCAGCAAAACTTATTTTATGTGTCAACAGACACATACGGATGCAGATAGGGACAAATTCCTGACCTACATTAATAAGCGGAAACAGCCCAATAAATAAATAAATATACACACATATGACAGCAGGGCAATCATTCTATGGGGTTAGGATTGCCCCACTGAACAGTTTATTTTGTAACTGATCATTTTGTGGTTGTTGCACCATTGCCTACAAAATCTGATAACAGCTACGGTCAGTCAGAATACTGGACTAATCCAGTACAGCAATTTTTATCTTTCTTCTATAGTTTATTATTTACAATAACAATTTATTATTTTGATGAAGTGTCAGCTATGGGGTGTGTAGTGCCTTTGAGCAGACAATTTCCGATAATATTTATGTAGTGTTCTTGTAGTCGTGTCGGTCCCAGAGAGACAAGATGGGTGAGGTATTATCTTTTATTGGACCAACTTCTGTTCGTGAGAGACACAGGCTTTTGGGCTTACACAGAGCTCTTCCTCAGGTCAGCTCTGTGTAAGCTTGTCTCTCTCACCAATAGAAGTTGGTCCAATAAAAGATATTACCTCAACCACCTTGCTCATTAATACTTATGGCAGTGCATTTTGGTATTAATGTGTGACTAAATCCCTTGAGGTAAAAGTGCGCTTGCACCTTAGCTTGTTACATCGCGCTAAATAGCAAACGGTTAATATGAATATGCTCAGCTCACCAATGTGCCTTTTCATTTACTTTGATTTCATTTGCAAATCACCACCACAAAGACTGATGACATCCACTCCATTTCTAAGGTACTGCTCCCATTCACAACAAAGCTATAGGAATTGGTTGTCTCGGTCATAGACATTTGTTCTGTAGGAACTGTACAGACCAACCAACTCATTTCATATAAGCAACTGAACAGCTGTGAAGGGGTAATGATTTCAGTTACTATCAACCTGGACCACATGACAAACCATGATCTAGAGAGAGAAATTTTAGCCCATTACCAAAACCTCATTCTTTTTCTATATTAAGAAATATTTCACTAGTTTATCAAAGTTTTTTTTAAAAAATTACAATGTTGTCTCCTGGGAAACCTAAGAGATATTTGCCATGAACCCAGATCACATCAAGTAGAAGAACAGTGTTAAAAATAATCAGATATTGTACACTGCCAGGGGTCATGTAATGTTATCTTCCCTAAACACTTTAAGTTAAAGTTCAAGACCTTGAATCCAATTAGCATTTAAAGATTTCTACAATCTTTCTTTTTCATTTATCTCACAGATTTGCTTTGGAGAATTCTATTTTGCTCATAAAAATGAGACATTAAAAATATCAATGGCAAAAGCAGTTTTAACCAGGGAATGGAACTGATTGTCAAAGGAGTGTATACACTGACTCCTGCAAGAGAAGACACGTATTACAGCAATGTGTTTTACAGCGTTCACTGTTTCAAACTGAAGGAATCACCTTCTGATCTACAAAAGCTTAACGAAAAACTCTCTAAGGCATCTATCATTTAGACACACACAAAGATATATAATTCAATATTTTTATTTTGTGTAGTATCTTTCACATAAACTATACCCCAAAATATATTAGAATTAAATAATGCAAAAGATAGTATTTAGACACATAAACCACGTGCTGTATGTGGCAAGAGATTTTAAAAACAGTAAAGACATTGTATGGTAAATACATTCAAACATGCAGTAAATGCCAATAAGAAAGAGAAAGAGAAAAAATTGGAGGCATAGGCAGATGGGAGGAAAAATATGTTTTAAGATAAAATCTGAAAAAAGGGAAGGAGAGATACAGATAGGTCAAATGGAAGAACTTCTAAAGGACAAGTGTAGTAAGCTTATACTAGGGGACTCAGCTGATAGATGAGAAGAGGAAGTAGAAAGGTAAGAGGAAATATTAGCAAGGTAAACTGTAACACATCCATGAAGTATTTTAAACACAAGGCAGGCAATTTTGAACTAGTTCACAGCAATTAATGTATATGAAGACAGAAGTGACACGAATATGGTGTAAAGGTGAACTGAAGCATTATGCATGGGCTAGAGAGCTGAGACTTTTAGAGTACGTCTAATACTGCAGCTGGGAGTATGCCTCCCAGCTTGGGAAGGCAGCCTCTGCTCAAGCTAGAGCGCTAAAAATAGCAGTGGGGATGTTGTGGCATGGACAGCAGCACAGATTAGCTACCCAAGTATAAGCCCGCCCACAAACCCCGGGGCCATACTCCAGTGGCTAGCTTGTGCATGCTCTCAGCTGCAGTGTAAACGTAC